TCCCTGCGATGGTGAATAATTCCAGTGTTCAAGCGGAGGTTCAAAGTAAGGCCAATCAGCTAATTCATTCGTCAAGTCATCAGCTGAAGATGCAGCTCTAGGAGAATCACAAAGCCGTCTGGTGATGATCCTCTTTATAATGCTTGGAGGAGGTACAATCGCGTGGTTTCCTCTTGGATTATAAATTCCATTCCTAAGGAACTTTATCCTAGTGTAATGCACAAGGATTCAGCGAGAGAGATATGGATTGAGCTTCGAGATCGATACAGTCAGGGGAATGGTCCTCGAATCTGTAAATTGAAAAAAAAAATTGCTTCGATCTCTCAAGCAAACAACTTAGTTAACTCCTATTTCTATAGGTTGAAAGGACTTTGGGAGGAATTAGAAAATTATAGACCTGGTGTTGATAGCACTAATTACAAATGCGAAGATTAGATCATGCAGTTTCTCACTGGCATTAGATGTCATATCCTACTGATGGATCCATTACCTTTACTAAATAAGGTATTTGCACTTGTTTTACAAGATGAAAGACAAAAAGAGGTGGTTGCTGATAGACAAGGAACGCATGATGCAGTAGCTTTTGCTGGAAAAATGATGGTGCAGAGACCTTTTAATCAGAGGCTTAATTCAATTAATTTTTCTTAGAAGAAAGACATGCCTATATGTAGTATTACGATATACTTGGGCATCTTAAAGGTAAATGTTACAAATTGATAGGCTATTCTCCTAATCACAAGTTTGGCAAAGGAAAACCTCCAGTAGTTAATGATGTTGGAGAAGTACATCATTGCCAAACACCCCATGAAAGTGCCTCAGGGATAATGCATTCTCTGTCACACCTAACAATCACTCCAAATAAGTGCCAGCAAATCTTGTCTATGTTAATGCCTCAATTGAAAAGCCAACTCTCAACCTGTAATCCACAGCCGCAGTAGGTGGTTTTTTCCTCATCCCGAGAACCTGATTCATTTACTTTCTCAGGTAATCACATTAAGTTCAATGCTATTTATGCTTCCTCAATAGCAGAAAAATGGATCATAGATACTGGAGCTTCTGAACACATGGTGTGCTCTATTAAACATGTAGCCATTGTTACTGCTGTTGTTGGTACATCTGTGAAGCTGCCTAATGGTGTTAATGTTGTTGTTACTCACGTTGGAACAGTGAAGTTATCACCTACTTTAAAACTGACCAATGTGCTTGTTGTACCATCTTTTAAATTCAACTTGATATCTATCAATAAGTTGACACTTCAACATAATTGTTGCCTGATTTTTTCAATGATTTTTGTTTTATCCAGGATCTTTTAACATGGAAGATGATTGGGGTAGGCAAACTTGAGCATGGACTATCTCATTTCGAATAGTCTCACCTTCAACTCAATGATCAAACCTCAAACAACTGTCATAACTTCAAATCAGATCCTAATATCTCCAACATCAGAAATTCTGTCGTTCTTCCTAATGCTGTCTTTAGTCCTAGTTTTCCATTATATGTAATAAATCTGATCCTGTTCGTAATACCATTGACATCACTAAGTCAAGATGGATATTGATATTTGGCATTGTCGATTAGGACATTTGACCATTTCCAAACTGTATTTGTTGCATAAATCTATTCCCAATATTGCTGTCAACAAGGAATTACATTGCACTATCTGCCCTTTGGCTAAAGAACACAGATTGCCTTTTCCTAATAGTGACACTAGAGCCTCACAAGCATTTGACATCATTCGTTGTGACATTTGGGGACCATATTCAGTCTCTTCCTTGGATGGTGCCAAGTATTTCCTAACTATTGTTGATGACTATAGCAAAATGATATGGACATACCTCATGAAAGAAAAATCTCAAACTAGACATCTCATTCAGTCATTTTATTATCTCATTCAAGCTTACTTTCAGCACAATATAAAGACTCTCCGGTATGATAATGGCTTTGAGTTTCACATGAGTGATTTCTACCTTTCTAAAGGAATTGTACATCAATTAAGTTGCGTTGGAACACCTCAACAAAACGGTGTAGTTGAGAGAAAACACCAGCACCTGCTAAATGTTGCTCGAGCCCTTAAATTCCAAGCCAATTTGCCTTACCATTTTTGGGGAGATTGCATATTGACAGCCACACATATTGTCAATAGAACACCTACCAAATTGCTTGCTTATAAATCCCCTTATGAAAAGCTTTTCCATACCACACCTTACAATACCCATCTCAAGGTTTTTGGGTGTCTTTCTTATGCCTCAACCTTGAAAAGAAATAGAACCAAGTTTGATCCCAGAGCTGTACCCTGCATCTTCATTGGTTATCCATATGGAATGAAGGCATATAAGCTGTACAATATCAAAACCAAGGCTGTTTTTGTGTCTAGAGATGTCCCTTTTCATGAGAATATATGTCATTTCCATCATCCTTCTTTCCTAGCTTTCTTATCTAAGTCTGATGCTATCACCCAATCTCATTCTTCTCTCTTTCCAATATATTCCCCTCTAAATATTGATGAGTTCACTCCAATATCAATTTCAAACACCTCAAATATATCAGAACCTCACAATTCAATTTCATCTTCACCTGTTGCCTCATCTCCTTCATCTACTGAACCTAACCCTTCCCCATCTGCAGTTCCTGTCTCACCACCTGTTGCTCCTATAAGAAAATCTGACAGACCAAAACATGCTCCTTTATACCTACAAGACTATCATTGTATTCTCATATCTTAGTTTCCAATTCCCCAATCAGAATGTGTGAAGAAGGACTTTGAATTTAGCAAGCAGTATCCCATTAAGGACTACTTAGGTTATGGTCTACTATCTGATGCTCAAAGGAGTTATGCCTTAGCCTTATCCACTGTCTGTGAGCTAAGAACCTTCACCGAGGCATCCAACTTTCCTGCTTGGGTTAAAGCTATGGAAGTTGAGTATCAGGCACTGGTTTCCAACAACACTTGGACTGTCGCCAAGTTACCTGATCATAAGACCCCAGTAGCTTGTAAATAGGTCTTCAAAGTCAAGCTCAACGCAGATGGAATAGAGGAAAGGAAGAAGGCTCGCCTAGTAGCTAAAGGGTTCACTTAACAGGTTGGGCAGGATTATGATGAAACATTTTCCCCTATTGCGAAACTAGTTATTACCAAAACACTCTTGGTCGTTGCAGGCACCAAGCAATGGCATCTTTACCAATTGGACATCAATAATGCCTTCCTTCATGGTGAATTGGATGATGAGGTCTATATGCTTATGCCTCCAGGTTATGAGTAGTAGGGGGAGCAAGGTGAACAACTGGCTTGCAAGTTAAACAAGTATATTTATGGACTGAAATAAGCTTCGAGACAATGGAACATGAAGCTTACTTCATACATTCTCTCACAAGGTTTCAAGCAATCAAGGTCTGATTATTCTTTGTTTAGCAAAAAAGATGGCCGCTCATTCACTATACTTCTCATATATGTGGATGATATAATCATTGGAGGGAATAATTTGCCTTACATCAAACAGTTCAAGGATGAACTAAATAGGCAGTTCAAATTGAAAGATTTGGGAACCCTGAAATAATTTTTAGGTCTTGAAGTGGCAATAAATTCAACTGAATATCCATCTGTAAGAGGAAATATGCATTAGATGTTTTGGCAGAAGCGTGCTACCTTGGTGCACGACCTGTAAACAGTCCTTTACCACACAACTTGAAGCTAAAAAAGGATGAGGGTGAAGCTATTGCGGATCCAATCATTTACAAAAGACTTGTGGGAAGAATATTGTACCTAACAATAACTAGGCCAAACTTATCATACGTGATTCAAGTATTGAGTCAATACCTTCAGTCACCAAAGCTGCCTCAAGATGTGCTGCGTTATTTGAAGAGCACACCAGGACAAGGATTGTTTTTCCTTAACAAGTCTGATATTCAAATCAAAGGCTATTGTGATGCGGATTGGGCAGCTTGTTCAGTTACAAAAAGGTCCATCACATGTTATTGCATATTCCTAGGAGACTCACTAGTGTCATGGAAGTCTAAGAAGCAACATACGGTGTCAAGATCATTTGCTGAAGCGGAATATAGGTCCATGGCAGCTATAGTCTGTGAGTTTACTTGGTTGAAAAATATCCTAAGTGACCTAAGTATTGATCACACCAAATCTGCCCTGCTATTTTGTGACAACTAGTCGGCTATACACATAGCTAGCAATCCAGTTTTCCATGAAAGAACCAAACACATAGAAATTGATAGCCACCAAGTGAGGGATAAAGTTCAGACAAAGGAGGTAAAGTTGTTGCATAAGGCTTCCCAGGATCAGTTAGCAAATTTATTAACCAAGCCATTAGGTGGAATCAGAATTATTTCATTACTTAGCAAGATGTGAGTGTTGAACATACACTTATCATCTTGAGGGGGAGTGTTGAAGTATAAATATAGCATGGGATTATTTAAGTCATTTAAGCTTCTTCATTCTGATAAATTAGTTGGTTGTGTGTATAAATAGGCCGCCGTTCTTTAGCGTAAAGTGTGTAATTCATTTTTCAACTGAATTGAATTCTTCTTCTCTCGCCTTTTCCCTCTTTTCCCTTAACATCAATTTCACATTTCTTCATACGTGCATTATGGTAAAATATAATACAAGTTATAAAAATACAAAATATTCTATAAATTAATAATCCCTCTAAAATAATAAATTTTCTCGATCAATATTATTATTTTATAGAGGTTTTATTGCACATTAAATATGGATATATTAAAAAAAATTATACTTTCAATAAGGAAGGTGATGTATAATTTGGAACCCATTTTAATGGGACATATGAAGTATTATGGCAGGCATATGACCAAATTTCCCAGAAAATAATTGTAATTTTCTTGACGGTTAAAAATCTGGATGGAATTTAGGTAAACGTAACCAATATTGAAAGTTTGTGTTCCTCAATTGATAATAATACTTCAAGGCCCAAATTGATATTACCTGCTCTTGAGTTGTCAGTGGAGAGAGAAATAGGTAGCAACTACTGATGACCTCCCTCCCTCACTGTCTTCCCTCCATTACCGGCCAGCGTCGTCGACCGGTCTTCCGGTTCAAACAACGGCCGTTTCGATGCTCAGCAGCTGCTGAACGCCAGACGCTTTTTAACCGTATTGCTCCTGTCTACGATAATGTGAGCCACTTCACCTCTTTCTAAATGTTCTTGATTTATAACTTTTTCTCTAGTTTGATCTTCCAATTCTCTGTTCATTTATAAAAATTGATCATTGTTTTCCAGTTTAATTTATTATGTTTTTGTTCCACATTTGTAGTTGAATGATTTGTTTAGCTTGGGAAACCATAGAATATGGAAAAGAATGGCGGTTTCTTGGAGTGGGTATTAAATTAGTTCTTTACTCTATTCTTTTTAATTTTTGTTAACTTTAGATTGGATATACTGATTCTATGAAGAAAGATAAAGAAGCTAAAATCTTGTTTATCCTGTCTTTAGTAGTGCTTGAGTTTTATAAACGCATATTTATGTCTTTTGTAGTTAAATACTGAATTTTTTTTTTTTTTTTTGTTGAGTTTGGATTAAAAGACTGGTGATCTCAGATCTGGATTCGTTATTGTGGCTTTTCTATTGAGAACATTCAACATTTGGATTAATAATTTCTTGTTTTACTAAAGTAAAACTGATCATTTTGTGTAAATAACAAAACATCATATAAAATGGATTATATGGATGTCGTTGTAAGTGCTGATAGGGCTGTATTTAAGAAAAAAAGATTGAATCTTTATTTTGTAAAACAGGGCAAAAGAAGGAGATAATGTGTTGGATTTATGTTGTGGAAGTGGGGATTTGGCTTTTCTCTTGTCTGAGAAAGTTGGACTCAATGGCCAGGTTTGCTTTCATTGTCTTCCCTATCTGCAGTAGTTAGTATTGTTCTTTAAAGATTTATTTTGCTTTATGTTTTAAAGTTTTCCAATGTTCTAAGAATTTGGTACTTTGGCATGATTCACATGAACCCACCAAATCTGTTTTTACCCTGGGATGTGGTTTTTCAAAAACTTAGAACTCGTGTGAATGGTGCTAAACTGCTAATATATCAAAGTCGCTACACCAAAACGTTCAAGCTGGAAATGCCTCTGCATCATCTTAAATTGTAAAAATGTTGCAATATGTTGAGTTGAGGGTCCTTCAATTTCATGCTTTAGTTCTCTACATCTCAGTTTGTCTAAGATTTCTCCTTTACCTACCATCAAATATTAGTTTTTCAACATATTTTTGGGACAATTCGATCTATTCAAAATATCAATTATGACGGCAACTCAGTGCAGAAGTATGTCAATTTTGCCTTTGGGTGCATTCGGTGTTTCCTCGACTTCACATTTTCTCCAATCTGAATATTTTACACTTTTTACAACATTTCACCTGTACCATAGGACATTGGTTCTCAAAGAGTGGTGTTATTTCTAAGAAAGGTTCTCACATTTATTGTGAAATTGGTTGAAGCATATTAATCATCATTCAATTGCAATCTAGTCAAAAATCACCATGTGGCTTCCCTGCTGAATTTCAACTTTTGAATTTAGTGATGCTTTCTGCGAAGTTTTAGTTCCATTTTCGTTTCTTCCTCTTTTTTTATTTTATTTCTCGGAGTTGACAATTTCACAGGTGACAGCACTTGATTTCTCGAAGGAGCAATTACAAATTGCTGCATCTCGCCAGCAAATGCGATCAAAACCCTGTTACGAGAATATTAAGTGAGTGTCTATTTATATCTGTTAATTTGTTTCATAACTGGCCAACGATGTGAGGCTTCACACACAAGTGAATCACAGAGATTTCCTTTGAAACTTTATCCTATTATTGAAGCAGAGAAAATGCTGTTAACATAACTTTATATATTAGGCAGTTAGTATGTGATATTAACACAATGCGATGTATTTTAGGTGGGTTGAAGGAAATGCAGTTGACTTACCATTCTCTGACTCCTATTTTGACGCCATTACAATTGGCTACGGGTTAAGAAATGTGGTAGATAGGCCGAAAGCGATGGAGGAGATGTGCAGAGTTCTAAAGAAAGGTTCAAAAGTATCTGTTCTCGACTTTAACAAAAGCACTCATCCAATTGCCATTTCATTTCAGGTATTTGTTGACTATAGGAACTTCACTGGTTGGACTTTTCCATTTTTCATTATTAAAATGAGCATGTGCAGGGATTCTTTGGTCGAAAGACGAATGAGCATAGTACATGCTTCTATATGTACTCGATCGGTGCTCATATATTCCATATGTTTACTTGAAATTGCAGTTTGATTTTGCTGATGTTTATGTGTTCAATTCTTGCCCCGATTTTCTTACCACAGGAGATTTCTGTAATCTATCATTTTAATCCTGATTTTCCAGGATTGGGTGATTGATAATGTGATAGTTCCTGTTGCAAGTGGGTATGGCCTTGCAAGTGAGTATGAATACTTGAAGAACTCAATCAAGGAATATCTGACAGGTCTGTCCTTTCTTCATCAGATGTATACAGCCGAAAATTTATGGGTTAATAAAGTTTTTGTATAAGCTAAACAAATGTAAAAAGTAACTTGTTTTTTCCGAATATGCCTGCATAAGATACTGTTTTTTTTTTTAGACTCTTATTTTGTTGTCAAAATAATTAACTTACTTATTTTTAACTTTAACCAATAAGAAACTATTTATTTAAAAACTCCTTTACTTATAAGTAATTTTTAGCTGAACATTCTCTTAGTTGAACATAATTGTGGATTGTAAACAGTCTTGAAGCCCTGTGCAAATGTTAAATGCATTACTTTCCAGACTAATGCACATCACTTTGCAATTTCCGTTCCCTTTTTGAAGACTTGGAATACCTCCACGAGAAGTAAAGAATTCTGCATATTTTTAACAATTCAAGGTAAAAAATTGGGTTACTCCCTCACAAAACTTGGTTAAGAGTTCCTATATAAAGATCTACACTAAAACGTAAACCACTTATGTGTGACCACTCATAAGCACCATAGTAAGCGGTATTCACTGGGCCAACGGCACCTGCTCTTGTAAAAGCTTCCATAGCATTGACAAAAGTCAAAATACGAGGAAAAAGAAATTTGGAATGACCAGCGTCCATTGTGCAATAATCTTAGCCAGTTTTCCCTGCTCGTTCCATAATAATATGTTTTTGCTTCAATGGGTAATAGAAATGAAAAGAATGTTCTAGAAAAGGGCATAAGAGAACTTGTGGGATTTCCGTTTATCTAGTGCCTGAGAGTAATCAAGCTACGTTCAATGGGATAACCTTCATTTGGATGATATTTGCATTATATTTTATAAATAACTGCATATACGATAAGTAACAATGTAGAGAAGTGTACTATCACGTCCTTGAAAAAGAAGAACTAACATCCAACGCAATCTTGAAGTTGCAAGTTAATAAAGGGCCTCTGACATTTTCTTGATTCTTTCATTTCATTTTTGTNGGGGGGGGGGGGGGGGGGGGGGGGGGGGGGGGCGGGGGGCTATTTTATGTGACATGACGTGTACATGTTGTAATGCAGGAGATGAGTTGGAAAAGATAGCTTTAGCAGCAGGATTTTCCGCTGCCAAACATTATGAGTTTAGCGGAGGATTCATGGGAAATTTAGTAGCCACCCGATAAGATCAGTTGTGACTTCAAACTGCTTCCTTTCAGGCACGTTGATTTACATGCTCTGGCTTTCTGCTACTTCTGAAGGGCTATACAAGCATCTGTTGCATAGTCGTTTAGGTAACAAGTCTTATTGGCATCTGTGCTGTTAAAAACATTCTTAGAATAAATCAATACTAAGTTTCAGTTATACTTTATGAAATTGATATATGTTGAATACATTTTGTTCAGAATATGTCAATATGATAAAGATTTCCGTCTGAGGGAGCTTAATGCAATTTTCACGGAAGTACACCTGCAATATGTAAAATCCTAAGCTCCCCTCCCTTTCAATCTCTATGTTTATCAGTGTCTGTGTATTCATGCCGTGTTTATTTTGCTAGCAGAGTAAATATCTGCAAAATTACGAAAATGACTGATACTTGAGGAAATACAGAAAAAGGAAATGAAATTCCAAAACTTCCATCTCAATGAATATTATAGAAATTGTGCAAGTTAATATAAATTGCTTTTAAAGTTTGTATATTTGGTATTTGATTGAAATCATGCAGTGATAGTTGCTAGACATTTTTTTTTTTTACTTTTCTTTTACAGACCAGGAGATCGGGATTACATTCCTGGCTACCTAATCTTTTTTGTGCTTCTAAACCTATTAGGAACAAGGCTTAGTTTATTATTGTCATGGTTGTAGATTAACATTATTGTTATCTCAGAGACTAATGCTGGAAGAAAATGCCGAATAAGATAATGACTAGTATTAACAAAAATAGTGGACTGTAAAACGAAATTTCAACTACTTTTCTCAAATCACTTTTCATATACAACTCCATGTCAACTGATGTGCCCAAAGAATTCCAGCTAAAATTTTCCGTAAGTCATCTGGGATAGAAAATGCTATGAGAAATGCTTGCAATCGAATGGGAAGATGGATTTTCGGGCACATTATTAAGTTCCATGGTCATCTCATTCATGAAAGGGGGATTAGTCGGTGCAGGGAGGTGCTCTTCTTTCTTTACCAGCATCTGTAGCGCTCTAGACATGGATGGCCGTAGGGACGGGATCTCTTGAGTGCACAGGAGCCCGACATGAACAACCCTTAGAATCTCATTCTTAACATCGAAGTTATGACAATTATGCAGTATTATGTTTGGATCAAACAGCTCGTCTACTGTTCTTTGCTGGAAATGCTTCCATACCTATTTGATACGAATGATGCCATGCTCAAAACAAGACGAAAAGGTTAATAGAATTACATGAGAGCGAAGAGTTTAAAAATACAACTTACAAGAGTTGCTAAGCTGTCTGAGTTCTCGAAGGCTCTGCTATTGTTGTTTTGTCTAGCTGTGACAATTTCAAGAAGAAGTACACCAAAGCTATACACATCTACCTTTTCTGTTAACTGGCCATTGGCCAAGTATTCTGGAGCCATATATCCTCTGCATTTTTGCAAATACAACATAATTTATGAGATCAATTCAGGAATTCAGTTTCTTATTCGGGTTTAGGATAAAAGGACAACAACACTCACAATGTTCCTGCAATAGCAGTGCTGATATGACTTTTACCTTCTGGAAAAGACCTCGCCAACCCAAAATCAGCAATTTTAGCACGGAGTCTAGAGTCCAAGAGTATATTACTTGCTTTGATGTCTCTGTGAATGATTCTGGTTTTTGGGTTTTCGTGAAGGTAGATCAACCCTTCTGTAGTCCCTATAATTATCTCAAATCTCTTCTCCCAATTTAATGATTTTCCTTTGATCGGATCTGTCAAATTAAAACAGCAGCATAATCTCAAATTAATCACTTATACCAAACACAAACTAAGATGCTAATGCATAATCTACAATTATGGTTTAGCCTAAATCAGAAATCTAGTAGTTACCGAAGATGAAGGAATCTAGACTCTTGTTTGGTAAAAATTCATATACAAGAAGACTTTCAGGTCCCGAGCAACTGCATCCCAACAACCTGACCAGATTTTTGTGCTCGACACTGCTGATAATGTTGACTTCGTTGTAGAAATCAGCTGCTCTATGTTTGTTGTTAAAGTAAAGCCTCTTCACAGCAATTTCTCTTCCATCTCGCAAAACTCCCTGCAATAAAAATAAATTTTAGATTAGACAGCAATCTATTAGTGCATTTAGTTTCCCAAATCTGTGGAGTAATGACCTTATACACTGCTCCATATCCACCTTGCCCAAGCTTGTTGGCTTCATCAAAAGAACTAGTTGCTTTCTCAAGTGTGGAATATTTGAAGTTCAAGCTGTTATGGTGAAGGGTTTTTGCCAGTTTTTCTGCATCACTCGAACCTGGGAAGATGGAGACTTCAGTGTAAAGATGATACCATATTCTACCTTGTTATTAGAACATAAGAACCGACTTTCTATTGAATGCTCGATTTGAAGATTAATCAACAGTGGTTAGTATGGAAAGGTGTAAAGTGATGCAAAGCTAAGATAATATGGCGTCGTCTTGTTGAGAATTCTCATATAGAATAGTGTAATTTCTAAATGCTAATGGTTGAATAAATGCTATTTACAGTTGGCATGTCATGCTATTTAGGCAAAAAGCAGTGTACCTTTTCTCTTCTTCTGTATTGTTCTGTGCTTCCATATATAAACTCCAATTACTGCTCCAATAACCAAAACACCTACTGAACTAACAGCTGCTACTACAACTACCGTTATTGTCCCTGCCGAAGTTAGTCAAAAATCTGAATAGATTGATACAAAATTGAAATTTACAACAGAAATGCTGGGGAGAAGACCATTAAGACCTTTCTACCTCTTGGAATTCCATTTCCCGGCATAGGATTAAGAAAGTTAATGTCAGAGTACCTAACAAAGCACCCCGTATTCAGCGCCCGGCCCTCGGACCGTGGCAAGCATCCCAATATAGAGGCTGATGCATTCTGTAAACAAGCACTGCAAGAACTAGCGCTAAGCGTCCTCCAGCAATTAGCAAGAACATAAGCCGATTCATTTGCTGTCCCGGACACGGGCACTTGATCCCGTGCATAGCCATTGTTGTTTGGTGCTGCTGAAACTGCCTGTGCCACAGCCTTTCTTGCAGATACCTGAAATGCGGAATTCTTTTGAGTTCTATTCCCACAGATGGTCCTGTCATATGGTCCAGTATATTCTTGATAGAAACTGTAATTCTCAGCTCGCATAAAGCAGCCATCGAGGTAAACCCTTCCGCTATTGACAGGGTCACACCGAGGAAGAATTGAGCGCGCATAAGCGTAGCATAAGAAACAATCGAGTAAAGAAAGATCACCATAGCATTGTGCTAGTCCATAATTAATGTTCGGTCCGGAGCCTGTTACTGCTACGCCAAAGCCTGAAGTTCGCATTTGCACACTTATGTTTTCCATTGTGAGAACGAAATTTCCGACAGAAATGGTGGAGTTGGTCGGAGGTTGGTTCCCACACATTAAATCGACCATCTGATCTCTTGGCTCTCCCAATGATGCATCTGGCAGTAGCAGATTAACCAGAATAATAATGATAACAATTGGACTGGCAATAAATTTCTTCATTTTCCGTTTTTTTTTCTTTTGGTTGGAAGGAAGACCAGGAAAATTGTACATTCTTTTCTATATATCTCTTGCGTTTTCCCTACCTGATTCATGAACCAAATATTATATTAAGGTCGACCCATTTCCTAGACACTCCCCTAAAGCTCACTATAGTAATGTGAAATGTTTGTCTGCAAATGATATATGAAACTTGCTTGAAGTTACGTTACCTCGAGAGGCACGAAAGTTTTGAATTGTTCAACCCAAATTTGAAATAAATTAAATAAAATCCCAACTAGTTTAAGAGTACGTGAATTTGCCTTAATCTAATACGGTAACAAGGAGCCGTTTGACAATCATTATTTGGGGAAAACAATGATTTGAATAGTGATTTTTATGATAATATGGGATAAAAAATTATGGATTTACGTGCAGAAAATTTTATTGTATGAATGTGTGGTTGAAAATTAGTATGTAAATAAAAGATTTTCAAATAACTATTGTCATATAGGGAGCATACCAACACCAAGACAAGACAATTAGTATGATTAAGTCTATGTTTGACTCCCAATTTTTAAAAAAAATCATTTTCAACTACACATTTGTTTATAAAATAATTTTATACTTAAATAGAATTTTTTTCTTATTTTTTAATCACACATTTTAAAAAAAATCGCTATTTCAAAATACATCATCATACAAAATGAGGTTCAAACAAGGGCTAAATTCGATTTATGTTTCATCGTATATTGAAGGAAGTATTTTTATGAAAGAGTAAGAAGTCTCTTTGAATTATTTTAATATTATATTTAGAGAAAATAGCACATGGGGTCTTTAACCTTTCAGAATTTAGCAGAATATATCCAAATCTTTTATTTTGACAGTTGAGGTCCCAAACCTTTAATAACTATTGCAAATGGAGGACAGGTGGATGAAATCTGTCCATCCATCCACTAGTTGATAAAAAAAAATCAATTTTCACTCATTTCGACCATTTAATTGAAGGGCAAATATGTAACTTTACAATTACCACATAAATGTAAAGTTACTGATTTTCCCTTCAATGAAATGGTCAAAATGAGTAAAAAATTGAATTTCTTAGTCAACTGATGGATGAATGGACGAATTTCATCCACGTGTCCTCCATCTGCAATGGTTATAAAATGCTTGGGACTTTAGCTGTCAAAGTGAAAGTCTTTGGTATATTCTGCTATGTTTTGAAAGATTAGGGACTCCAACTGCTCACTTATATTTATGGAAGACTATTATTGAAATAATTAAATATATATGATAAAATTGTTCAAAAAATGATCTTCAGACATTATATGCCTACAATATATAAAATAAGATATGTTACTATTCACAAGACATTATCCTTAGCTCATGCTGATGTTGTATATATGTGTGTCATTATGCAGTGTTCAAATTTCCTCTAGAAAATGGCACGTGGCTGAAACCCTTCCACTAGAAAATGGCATTCAAACACGGCCGAAACCCCACTTTAATATATCTTGGAATTTTAAGGACATTTACACTTTATTTCACGTAAATTACATCAATTCCATTTCCATTTCATCTATTTACAGTTCATTTCACATAAATTTCAACATCATTTCCATGTCTATTTACATTTCGTCATCTCTCTACTGCAAACACTCTCTCCCTCCTCTCTATAGCAGGAAAGAAATCTCATCTTTTGCTTTTTCTCGATCTTTATTCTCCCTTCCATACAGACATATGCTCCACCTATATCTCTTGGTAATAGAACTTTTTTCTTCTCTCCTTTTTAATGCCAATCAAAAATTCTATTTTTGTGAATCAGTGCAAGTTTATTCTTATGCATAATGTATTGTCCAGATCTGTAAGTTTGTGAGGGAAAATAGTGTTGTTATGGCCATGAATAGCATCAGTTCCTATAATAATGGGAATTTCAAGAACAATTTTTTCTTCAAGGGTCATTGTACTCATGAGATTCTTGATTCTGGCATGCAATGGCTTCTATAGCAGTTGCTGACGGGTACAAAAAAAACCAAATCATGAACATTGATAAACTCACCATTTTAACTAATTTCACTGAAGTAATTAATTTGGACCTGCAAATGATAATATATATGTATAGACACTGTAAAGCAATATATAAAAAAAGTGGTCCCTGGGGCATAGTCCAGTGGTGCAAAAGAAAGGAGTGAGGTAGTCTCAACTGAACCGACAACCGTAATATGAGGGTTCAATTCCTGCATTTTATAAGCTATGAAATTGGACTCCTTGTGAGTATCAGTACGACTGCTCTTGTACCCTGATCTGATGAGGCACATGCAGCGATTTACTTCCTTCACATTGCTCCAAGGACGGGACGGTGGGATGCCCTTAAGGTGGGGGTTGAATCATTTTTTTAATATATAAAAAAAGTGGTACAGACAGGACAATGGACAGAGAGAGATTCCATTTGAAAAAAAATGAATCTTTTTGGACTAACGCTTCTTAATAATTTAAGGGAGATTTTCAAAAATGTCACT